TCCAGCAAAATGCATTTTGGGTTGATATCTCCATGGATGAGGCCCATGCTGTGTAGCCACGCGAATCCTTTCGCAGCCCGCATAGCAATTTCGAGCCTTAGCGGCCAATGCATAATCTGGTCCCCAACATTCAAGATATGCAACTTATCATGAAGTGTGCCATTGAGCATGTCCTTGTAGATCAACAATCTTTCCTTCTTAGTCAGACAAAATCCGATTAGTGGGGTCACATTGCGGTGTTTCATGTTTCCTAGGGCCACAACCTCGGATGCGAATCCTTTCTCTGTGTAACGAATGTTTTGTAGCCGTTTTACCAGGAAAGAAGTCCCGTCCTGGAGGACTGCCTTGTAAGTTGTCCCTGTACTTCCGGACCCGATTATGTTTTCTCTGCTGAAGTCATTTGTCGCCTTCATGAGGTCGTGAAAGCTCATTTTGGGAACTGATTTCCCTAACATTGAAATCTGAAAAAACAGAACACATTCATGTCCATTTAAATCGAAAAATCATGAAACTAGAGTGTAGGGTTAACAAGATGGTGAAAATGTCTAGTCCGAGTAAAAAAGGTAACATTTTTCAAAAGACGCGCAAGTGCTCTATCCTACCTTAACGTGTTCGGCACGTTTGATACCCTTGGCCCATTTGTTGCAAAGAGGATCACTCTCTCTTTGCTGCTGCTTCTGCTTCTGCACCTTCTGCTTCTTCTTGTTTGTGAACCCTGTAAAGTATAAATAGCACCAAATGCCGATGGTGAAACCCAAAGGACCACCAGCAGCAGCTCCAATGATTGTCGGATTATCAAATGTCCGTGGATCAGCTGAGTCCTGGCAAAGATGCAGCCCAGGCCCGCCGCACAGGCCTGGGTTACCCATGTAGCTATCAGCCCCAATGGAGCTGAAATTATAGAAGTTAGGCACAGGCCCAGTCAGCTGGTTTCTGGCCACCGAGAACGACTTCAGCCGGCCCAACTGACCAATCTGCGAAGGTATTTGACCGGTCAACCGGTTATTGTCCAGCTTGAGTGTGCTCAAGAAAGTGCAGTTCGCAAGATTCGCCGGAATCTCACCCGAGAACTGATTTGACGAGAGGTCGAGGGAGGTGAGTAGGCCAATGTAAC